TGCCTGCACCTCTGCCTGCACCTCTGCCTGCACCGCGCTGGCTGGGAGCAAAGCTGCTCGGGCAGGGGGAGAGAGAGACTGAGCACGGCACGCAGGGACCCGGCTGCTTCAGGTCAGGACATGAAGCTGCTTTAGGGGCTCAGCTGTGCTGTGACCCCGGCCCCAAAGCCTTGCATGGGTGCGGGGTGATTTTCTCTCGCCCTGGTGCAGCAGGCTGCAGGTGAGGGGCCGGGGGCTCGCCCGCAAGCCCGTACCTGCCGAGCACCCGCGCAGCCTTATCTCCGCTGGGGAGGCGAGTTAATGTGTAACCCAGCTCTGTTTGGTTAGCCCAGAAAAGCAAAGAAGTCCTGGGATAGGCACGGCCAGGATTTGGGCAGCGTGGAACGACAGACGTCCTGGTAAAAGAAGAAAAAAAAATAATAATATTAATAATCTCTATTTCTTCTTGTCCTTTGCTTTCTGTCCTTTTCTTGCTGCGTGGGCTGTGGGCGAGGGGCTGAGCACCTCTGCCCGGATGGGCCGCGGGGCTCCGGGTACCTGCGGGGTTACGGACGCACTTTGCTTTGCTTTGGAAGGGGAAAAATGTGGCGGTGTCACGGGACATGGCACCAGCGAAGATGGACGAAGTGGTTTGAAGGTGGTGGTGGGACTAAAGCTGGGGAGATCCAGCAGCTGCTGGCAGAGAGGCTGGGGAAACCTGCGCTCCGGACAGCAAACAGCTCGGGCAGCTGCTACATGCACTTGATTTACTTGTTTAAATAGGAAAAACTGTAGGCTTGCCACCGTCGTCTCCTTTCACCCTGAGGTGGGATCCATCCCGCTGTGCCACTGCAGAGCAGGAGCAGCTGGGACAGTACCTGAAAATGGTGTTTTGCTCTGTTTTGTGTTTCGAGCTGGCCGGGACGAAGCCCTTTGCTGGCAGCTGTAATTTGGGGGTAGGGGGGTACGGGGGGTGGTACAGCTGCTTTACCTTAGACAGCAAAAATGCTGAGGTTCTTTAGCACCGCTGGAGAGCTGAGATAGAGCGCTTGTAGTAGAACTGGGCTTAGAAGAAAGTAGCCTCTTCATGTAAAGCAATTAGCATTAATTACTACCCAGCACCTCTGTGATGTTTGAGGGCTCAGTGAGTTGTGTAAAGGACAGTTATGGCAGCTGTGGCAAAAGCATGAATCAGACTTCTATTTTAGATGAAAAATAGCTTATTCTAAAGGCATTTTTAGTGGGGGAAGATACATACATCGTTGAAAATCAGCTTTTAAAGTACCACGTCTTTTCATTTAAATGCTCGCTCAGATTTTCAGTGTGTGGCTGAACTGCCGTGTTATTCAGCAAAAGGAACTGTAAAATCCTTCTGAATCGTAAAAACACTGTTTTTTTTCCCCTTTCCCAAGTCAGATGAATGCGTTAGAGCCATAATCGCATCAGAGAACTAGTGGGCAGGAAAATGAACTTCTTGTTTCTGCATAGATCTGCCCCAGCATCCGACGAGCTCTTGGCTGAACTTTGCCTCCCCGTCAGCCGGGGCTCGGCCGGTGCCAAAGCCTCAGCAGCTGCTTTGTTTCTGCAAATGCTGTTTGAATGAGGGCAAATTATTTCTTCCAATGGGCTGATGACAGTGGGCATCCTCATGGAGAAATTAGCTCTGTCGAGATCCCTAATTAGAGCTGGGCCACGCTGCTGCTCTCCCACCCGTGGGGCTGCCTTGCACAGCAGACACTGGTTCCAACCCGGCTGCAGGCGTCAAGTTCGAGCAAGACTTTCGCTTCCCCAGGAGTGTTTTGCTCTCTCAAATTTGTGGGGCAGGCAGCGAGGAGCATTGCAGCAATCCTGGCCGAGCAGCTCTTGCTGCTTAGAAGTAGATTCATGCTTCACGTTGCAAACCTTTGGGTACCCAGCAAAACCGTGCAGCTTGCAGATGCCTACAACCCCCCCAAACTCAGCTGGTGTCTCTGCTTCCTGACAGCTAAAATATCCGGCTATAAACTTATCCAAATGCAAAGAATCAAGGGCATTGCTGTTCCCAAGCCGGCTCTTACTGAAATGTAATTTAAGCAGTAAATAATGCAAAGCTGAGACTGAAATATTGAAGTCCTCCTGCATGGCTCTGTCGGGGCGTGGGTGTTGAAATCAGGGGTTTGCAGCATTTTCCAATGACAAAGGAATTCTTTCAGGGTCTAACACTCTGAACAAGCAGCCAGTTCTGCTCGCTTATCACTAGATCTAATTCCCTGATCCTGCTACAAGAAAGGAAAAAAAAAAAAAAAGCAGCAGCGTGTTCCTGTGTGCCATGGCCCAGGTTACAGCACAAAGAGCTCCTCTGTCTTGATGAGCAAATCCTCTTGCGTGGGTCCATGTGGGTCGGAGGGGGTGTTTGTTTTGTTGCTCTCGTTAGCCTCCGCAGCCCAGTTCTCTCCCGATGAATGGGCGGCATGCACAAAGAAAACCTGTCATTGGTGGTGTCGTTAAATTTTGGAAGCTTAATGCTTTACATCCATAAGTAATTATGCCTTTTGTAGGCTACCCAGCCTCTCCCTGCAGGCAGGAGAGCTCTCCTTGGCCACACACCCTGCGAGCATAACTGGGCCCTCCGCCGCCCGGGACCCTGTCCCGGGAAGGTCTCGCTCTTGGCAGCCCCGATGGCAGGTTGTTTGTCAGGCAGTCACAGAACCGCGTTCAGGTCCCACTGGTGGCAGGGGTACAGGCTGCATCCAGAAGAGCAGCAGGGCTGGTTTGCCATGAGCAGAGGGGGACATTGGGGTGCTGCTTGCAACCCCCCCCCAGGGTGGCTGGAGACACAGCGCATCACCGCAGCCTGGGCACGGCTCCCAGCGCTGCCCTGCTCCGTGCCAGCTACGCCAGGCATGTGCCCAAACACACCCAGGCGTGCCCCAAAGGTACACAGGCACCTCCCCACGGCCACGACACCTCCGTGGCTCCCGAGGAAGGGTGGCAGGGGAAGCTCTTTGCCAGGAGGAAGCTCACGGCGGAGCAAGGCTGCGACTAAAAGGCAGCATTTGGGGTCAGTGTGTGCAGAAGTTTGAGAGTGCTTCAGCTGCGTGGCTGGTGGTGGCAGGGTGGTGGTGATGGAAGGGGTCCCACGAGGAGGAGCTGGGCTGGGGCTTGCTGCTACCAAGCTCCGAGGCTGCGGTGGGCTTACAGCATCTTCCTTCACTGAGGAACCGGCTTATCCGAACCTCCGAGATGACTCGATAACCCCCGACGCAAGGGGGCTGCGGGTGGGCAGTCCAGAGCTTACTCTATTTCCAATTCTTCTGGGGAAATCTTCAGTTCCAAGGATGCCTTAAAAAGGCCCAGCTGCCCCTTCTCCTGGAGAGAGCAGCCTAAGGACCAGCACATTCCCATCCACCCAGCAGCTTCCCAGCCCACCTGCCCTCGCCTCCAGCTGAGCCAGCACACCCATGTCACCCCGGGGCAAGGGGGGGTCTCACAGCTTAACGCCTCTCCTTTCTTCTGCTTCAGCCGGGATATTGCCCCCCACGCCGGACACGGCGGCAGCCTGTGATATGCCGAGGAAGGAGCTGGGGCTGGGGGGGGGCCGCGGCGGGTCTGGC